TTTCTCAGACATTTGACACTGTGGTTGATCTCTCTGGCATGGCTCCATGGTGATGGCCACGCCCACCCCACTCCGCCCTGAGGTCATGCGTGTCACTTCTGACCACACGTCACTTTCTGGGTCGTAGCACTCCACACTGTCCAGGAACGTGTTGCCATCATACCCACCTGTGAATGTAACACTCACTTTAACTGAGCATAAAGGTAGCAGACCCTGACCTCGACCCTACGACCTGTCAGACATCTGTCAGAGGAAAGACTAGGACATGGTCAGATCTAAACAGAACCACTGGGAGGGGTTTCTGACATTCTCAAGGAAAATTCAGACACAAACTATATATAGCTATATATAGCTATATATATATATATATATATATATATAGGACTCCTACACTAATATGTAACTGAAACTGAAATATTTTTGGACTAACAGACAACAGATTTCCATCTTTAAATCTTTAAAAACTACTGAGTGAATATAACAAACAAAAATAAACAATCCAAAGACTGACACACACTAACATTTACTGAAACCCTTTTCTTCTTCTTTGTTTTCTGATAAACAACTGTTGCTGCCCTGCTTCATCCAAACTGGTATTATTCTTCTTCTATGCTGATTATCACCTACTTTTGGCAGGAAAAATAGAAGCAAATGCCTTCACCTTCAAAGGCTGTTACTCACCCAAAACATAGATGCGCCCGTGTAAAGCGGTGACTCCTAGGGCGCTGCGTCGATGCCTCATGGAGGCGGCGAATCTCCAGGTATCAGTTTCCACATCGTAACACTCCACTGTGTTCAGCTGGTTGGTGCCATCGTAGCCTCCCACTACGTAGATGTGATTGCCCAAAGAACACACCCCTACAAATACGTGTTGATTTGTCTGTTAATACAGGAAGCAACTGTACATCCTAAAGAACACAGCAATATTTGCAGAAATATTATAAATATAAACACATGATGAACACTCTGTAACAAAGTGGTTCTAGTAATAACCTGCACAGACACATCGGAACTAAGCAGCCATCAGTGTAGTTAGAAAATGTCAATGTGGTTACTTACTTTATTTTTTGTTGGGTGCAATACTTACTATTAATACAAACAGAAAACCATTCTCTGAGGGAGTGACTCAAAGTCATCCAGTTGTTAATATTACAGTGACAGGACAACAAGGTTTCAATTAGGGGTCATATAACAGACTGTGAGATGACAGTGTCATTTCACAGAAACGGAAACGGAAAAATGTTGCTTGGAGTACAAAGTCTGACCTAAATTTGATTTGCATGACTTCCATAAGCTACATGGTAGTGTAGATGTTCAAAGGTCGCCTACAGCCAGGCCGTTGTACAGTGTAGTGTAGTGTAGTGTTATAGTGTTGTAACACTGAGTCTGGATCTGCTTCCTGTTAAAGGGGAAATCTTTTTCTACCCACCGTCGCCAAAATGCTGCTCTGTGTGTGACTTACATCCTGTTTTACTATGTAATAATTCAAACTTAGTATAAATATCAACCGTAAATAGATTCTTCAATTTCTCCCCAGTAAAGTGAGTTTCTAGGAGGATATTTTACATTTAATTCCAATTATTATTTCTTATTTCGTCTTATATTAGACAAATGTGTTTTGTGACTTTTGGCTAGAAAAATAAAACTGACTGTCACTACTGTTAAAAAATAATGAGTGTCTACTCATCTTGGCCTTTAGAGAGTTTACTTTACATTTTCTTCCAAACTTTAGGGTTAGGGATTACAGTAAACAAAATGCTAATTTGTTCTATTGTATAAGACATTGGACTGGCAGTTAATAAAGATGACAAAAAAAAAAAAATCACAATAGTAGTACACTTGTCTTACTTTTTCTCTGAGGACGAATACTGAAATTATTTTCAATTTTGAATTCACATCCCAATCAAATGTTCCATGAATACACACATAAGCTTCACTGAGCTCTGGATCAAACAGGCGTGTGTGTAGAGAAAAGACCACGAGTGCTGCAGAATTCTATGAACTTATTTACCTGCTCCGGAGCGCACGGTGTTCATGGGGGCCATGGTTATCCACTCGTCCCTGTCTGGGTTGTAGCACTCACAGGAGTTCAGGCGGTTGGTACCATCAAAACCTCCTACAGCGTACAGCAGCCGGTTGATGACAGTCACACCAACACCTATACGCTGTGTCAGCATGGGGGCTACCAGCTGCCACTGATCCCTCTCTGGATCGTACCTGCAGAAGAGCGGCAGCACGGTTTTAGGGTTTCATTTTCCTGTCGAGGACCTGCTGTAGTCTGGACTGCTTTAATGACCTCTGACCTTCAGAAATACCTCATCCAGCAAGTTCTCTTTCTGTCTCACATTAATTTCTCTGGCTAAAATTTGTCATTTTAGATAGTTGTCTTTCTGCACAATAACAAGACTTAGGACAAAGTTTAGGTAAAAAACAACCAGGAATTAATCATTTAAGATTTTTACACCAGTCACATGTAGGAGATTTGATCACAACTGTCTTGTTTATGCAATTAAATAAGGGAAAATATACTGGACAAGTGCTGAGGTATGAGGCTGATTTTTTTTACTGAACTAAACAATTCTAAATGAATCAAGAAATTATTCGGGGATAATTCTGCTGCATATTGAATGAAAAAAAAAATAGTAGCCTTAATTAAGGTATTTTTTAAAAGCAACAGGTCAACAAACACATTAGTCTCACCAATTGACCATCCTTGTCAATTACTCACCTTTCTACGCTATCATGATGAATGCACCCATGTGATCCACCGACTGCATAAATCATCCCATCAATGACGGCAACTCCAATTCGGTTCCTGGGCACGCTCATCGGGGAGCATGGCAACCAGCAGTTGTTCATAGGGTTGTAGCAGTCGAGTGCATTCGAGTCCATGTTGCCATCAGGAGCATTGTTTCTCCCGCCTACAGCATACAATAACCCACTAATCACACAGGCTGCCAGGCCACTGCGGGGCACCTGCAGGTCGGCCAGTCTCAACCAGGTTCCCGAACAGGGATTGTAGGCCTCCAGGTAGCTGAGAGACTGACGGAAATAACCCCCCGCTGTGTAGATGAGCTGTGGCACCTTGGGCGTTCGGCAAGAAATTACTTTAGTTGGCTTGTGGAGGGTGAGGTCCTGGAATATCTGGGCCAGGTAGTCTTTACACTGTGGGTCCAAGTCCAGAGACTGAAGCTGAGTCTGCAGGAAGTTGGGGGTGAGGGAATGACAACGAACAGCCTTCAGCAAGGCCTGCACGTATGGTCGCCGGTTCTCTCTGTCGTAACGCACCCAAGCCACGCATGCCTGGAAGACTTCGGACTCACAGCGCACATTAAGCTCGTCACGGCTAATTAGGGTGACCAACTGACAGTGGGATAAATTAAAGAACTCCTCTTGGGTTGACACCTGGAGACAAAAAAAAACTTGATTAATAGATAATTCAACAGTACAAATCCAGAGCTGTGTATTTATGAAAATATCCTATTTAAGAAGGTGCTTCAAAAAGCTGCTATTTTACAGCCGGTTCTCAGTTTATGACATCCTCCACCTACAGTGTTTCATGGTTACGTAGCCATCTCCCATAACTTTATCACTACAAATACTGTTAGTCAAATACAGTGAGATATCTTTGGGCTGCTGCCCCTCACCTGGCTGAAGTTCATGTAGATGTACTCTCGGGCCTTCTGGTGAAGCTCTGTGCAGCCAATCTGCTCAGCGAAGCTGGCAATGCCGATAGCATTGCTTGGGTCAAGCTGCTGGACCAGGAAGTCACAACAGGCCTTTACTACGCTGTCAATCTGATACATGACGGCACCATTCATCACATGGATCACACACTTTTCCCCCACAGAGATGCTGGCTGTGTAGGCGAATTCTATCAGTCTGTCCATAACCTGAAATGAAGAGGACAACAAGAAATCAGTGAAATGTTCTGAACTGAAGTATACGCACCCTTTTCGTCTCTTCTTTTGTGCTCTATCCATTACTCTGGATGGTAGACAGTGGGTATTTTAAACTCAATTACTACTTCTACTCCTCGCAGCTTTATCACTCTACTCACCTCACTCTAATAAAAACAAACATCTTCTGTCTTCCACCTGCTGCCAATCATTCACCTTCACTACAAAACAAGGCTCCACCTCTCCAGGTTTTCTTCCACCTGCTCCCTACTCTCACTACAAATTACAATGTCTTCTGCAAACATCACAGTCCACAGAGACTTCTGACTGACTGACTTTAATATAACAGGCATACAAACATCAATTATGTATTTATTTCTAAAGGGGAATTCCTGGTGTGAAAGTTGCTACTTTAAGAGCGTTGTTATTAATTCAAAATAAATGACCTATCCTTATTACCTAATTAAACAAGGCATTAAGTGCCAATTCAAAAAGCAAAAAAAATGATGTGTTGCAAAACAGAACCTGTGACTTACCCTGGGGTGAATTCCCTCGATGGGCACCAACTCCATACCACATTCCTTCAGACCGTTGGTAAACATGGCCCTGAAGACCGGGGAGGAGGAGGCCAGCACCACCTTGTGAGCCACAAAGTCAACTGCCTCCAGGTCTTTGTAGCGCACACGCAGTGTGACGTCACACAGCTGACGTTCTAGTCGCAGCTCGTTCATGATGGCAAAAGCAGCTGCGGTGTGACTCTCTAATGTGTAGCTGAAGACGCGGTGGCCATTGTGCGTCGATGGAGTCACCAGCGCTTTGCATTCCGTTAAGCACTCTGTCATTTCCTACCAATTCACCGCCTTCTTGGACTTGTTCTCATGAACAGCGGACACTGTTGTGGGACATCCCTGCACCACATACAGGCATGGTGAAAAAAAAAATGAAGGCTCTACTTGGTCTTGCAGTCTTTGGGAGAGATATAACCTTTACAGAAGATTCATTTTTAAACTAATCGGTTTGCCTGGTTAGCAGTGCATTCAGACCATTCTGCTTATTCTGGCATTACTAGATATTCCTGTGGCAGCCACAAGGTGCAGTCTAACATGCTGTAGGCCCAACATAACCAGAATGTGACCTTCTCTGGGTTAACCCTGCAGCAGAGTTGTGCAGAGGTCTAAAAACAGGCTCTAAATGTTGAAATTAATTTCTTTCTTAAGTGCGAGGTTTTTTTTTTTACATTTTCAAATATTTGGGTTAACAGGTATATTTCAAAATATATAAGATACGTGTCTAAAACTGCAAAAATGTCACAAATTAGAAAGCCATCATAAATGCAAAAGAATTAAATAGAAAATGAGTTGGATCCTTTTCTAAAGCTCTGAATGGTCTTTGAGGTTTGACTGACGAGCTGTTGATTCACACCGTTGTGTTGGTGAGACAGACACCGGCTGAGCTGAGATCTGTTAGGAAAACAGGAACAGAGACAAAGAAAGAAGTTGTCACTACACTGTACAATAATACATTTACTATACAGTGTCCTGACCTGTTCAAACTCAACCAAACACTTGCTATCTCAGTCAACCTAACCTATTACCTTTGCCTGATTCATGAGGCCGTTCACCCTGCTCTACTGAATAATTCCTGTTAAAGTTCAGTGAGGTCACAGTGTTCAGTGAGGTCACAGTGTTCAGTGAGGTCACAATGTCCATAGTATGCTTAGTTTCAGACCATTTTATTTTACTTAATAAGGGTCATATGAGTGAACATGTACTAATGTAATAAAGAGAAGAAATGACACAGTGACTTTAACGAAAATTAGACTATGCCCTTTGAAAACACCTGTTGCGTAATGAAAAGATCAATAAAAAAAAAACAGATGACAAAATTAAAAGGTTGTCATTACAACATCACAAAATGTGGGGCCTGTACTGCACCGACGGTGGCTGCAGTAGTGCCAGAGCAGTACCTTGACTTTTTCCAATGTCAATATAGTGAGTAAATATCAATGACCCCATGTAATAGAAAAAACTTATATTCAGCTACTTAATCAAAATATAAATTTAAAATTATTATAATATTTATAATAAGAATTGTTTTGTGGCTTAAATTTCCATGAAACGTGATTCGCTTACAAATTCAGCAGGGGATCAATTACTCATTTTCCCCACTGGATGAAACGAGGGCGATTCTCATCTTTACAAGTTTGTTTTGAATGGCCATGCTGTTCCACGAACGATCTCTTTATCAGAAGTTGTGACTGACACCAAGTCAGTTGACCTGACATTTAAGAACCTGCCATAGGATATCCTGAGCAACAATGGCTATAGCTCATCTACTGTGTCTTTGTCGATCTACGACGAGTGAAACAAAAATAATTCAAACCTGTTTAAGACCAGGTCATGGATTCTGTATTTGATATAGTTTGGAGTTCCCAAAACATCATTTGACAAGGCCAACATTAGCAACACTAATTAAAGCACACTGCATAATGAAAAAGCAACATAGTACAACTTTACTATGAATGACATCAAATAATGTGAAAACAGGACAAAACTGAGAGCGAGAGAGGGGAGAGAGGGGGAGGGCAGCAGAGCGGAGAGATAGAGAGCGAAGCGAGAGAGCAAAAAGACAGATTGTGGAAAAGTTAATGAAACTTGAGTTGTGGCTGTATCAGCAGCTCAGTTATTGACTGTTTGTAATAAAAGTTCTAAAACAATGACCCGAGGTTCCCGTCTGGTTCATTACTGTTGAAGGGGCATTACAATATGCTTGTTGTGCACAGCCCCCTCCAATTCAAGCTGCTTGTCTTCACCTCATACAGTATAGTGTTGTGTTCAGTGAAACTTTCTATGTAATGAGATATATATACATCAAAAGCACTAGTGGTATTGTTATCTGTACTCAATATCAGCAAGAACTCAAGAGTGAGTACTTGCACTAAGTTGGGAAAAAAGTAGTATTGAAAATCCCTAATTTTTAGTTGAGCTTTGAGGTGTAGTCAAAGAAACTAGTGTTTTCCAATGCACACTGTCACTGTACAAGAAAGACTTAGGGTTAAACGCAGGTGCCTGGGAGTAAAATAACATCAGGGAAATTCCATGCTATTCTATTCAATACATGGAGACTCTTTAACAACTGTCACACAGCTTTGCCCTGAAAACCATGCTGCAAGTTAAACTGAGAGCAGGTGATGACCACTTGTGGAGTTTGGTATCTGAATAAGACAGAAAGTGATACCTTTTTCTATGAGTGCATCCACCTGTGAGTCAGCCATGAATAGTAACAACAATTTCCTCAGAAAAAATAAAATTCAATCTAATCTAATCATAACAAAAGGAAAACCCAGATGACCCATGCTCATCAAGAAAATCCAAGGACATGCATACCAAGTGAGAAAATTATTTACTGGCTCGTTCGGAATTTCACCGTCATTGTGCTCCAGTTAGTCTGCCCTACTTAATTCTATCACAAACTGTAAAAATGTTTTAAAACTTTAAGGTTAAAGTTCCCTTTATTTCCAAATATAACATTAGCATTTTTTAAAACTCTGACGTGGCTGGTTGATGTCAAAAATTCTCTTCTTCTTCTCATTCTCATTTTCTAAAAGATCATATCACAAGTGTCCTCGTTGCAGGAAGAAAAGAATAAATGAAGTGATAATCTTTTATTGAAAGGCCGGCAGCACATTTCCTGGTGCTCCTTAAACAAAGACTGACACATTCAGGTGTTCACTGCATGTTGAAAGAGGTTATAAATCCAGTGGGCATTTCCTCTATTCTATCTGATAGAAAAATAAACAGGTACATTTTCAGACATACATTTTTTTTGATAAAAATAACAGAATTGTATTCTCTGACTGTCTACTTTTACTAAACATATCACGATGGAACAATTGGCATCTGGGCTGAATGGCATTCAAATGCCTTCAAAATGGACAAACTGAAAGTTTGGTGAAACCCTGTTTCAGTTTGCTGTGAAGAATCTAGCGATATATGGAGAGCATATCAAATTAATAGTAATGTATTGAAAATGGAATTGCTGTTAATTCTAATTTAATAGTCATGCTTTCACCATGTTCTTCTGGCTTAGCACATAAACAACATCAACAGCTACATCCAGACCCAGCAACTCGATGTGGAAACGATAAACAGCTATGGATGTCATTCAACACTGATTGCACAATGAGAGTGAATCAATTTTAAAAGCTCGTCCGTGCAGTCGGTGTTGTAGCTCTGGGTTACAGTAGTCAGGAATTCTGGAGCATTTGATGAGCATCATGACAGAGACCTTTACTCGGTGACTCATCCTAAACTACAGTATTAGACCGAGCAAACGGTGGAACTGAACGTACTAAAACATGACCCAGAAGAGAGGCTAGCTCTTAGACAAGTCCACTCGGAACTTGATTTCCCCGCCGTCACATTAAAAGCACAATTTCTACTCCACACATTAGTTATACGCGAGTCATTTCTGCGCTTGTTTTGATCACTCCAGAGCGTTGGCACTCACCCAGAACCATACAGGTAGAACGGGATTTACCAAAATAAAACTAATGATAAGTTCTACATTTTCTCTTCAAAACGCTATAATCGTACAAATCAAAAGCTAAACGTTACGGAAATAGAGCTGGTAGCGCAATGGGCTCCAAATATATACATCAGCGTAACGACTGTGGGCTACCCGAGCTAAATAATGCTAAGAAACGCTTTGCAAACGCTTGTGGGCTACCCCTCGACCTACTACCGTGTACACTAGCATCTACACGGTTCTTAACATTCGCTATTGTGCTGCTAATAGCTGAAATAAAACAAACTTACGTGGGCTGGCCGTCTATTGCTCCATCGCTGATTACCGAGCTGTGCGACACAGAGGGAGGAGGGGTGCGAAGCTGTAACTCACCATGACTAAGCATTGTGCCGGCCTCTTTGCTTTCAAAATAAGAGCTCTGTACGGGCTTGACTTCGTTCGAAAGAAATGGTGGCCATGTACATTACCATCAGAGGGACTTTTATTGCGGAAGTCCTCTCACAGTGAAGTAAAAACAAGGCCGGGGAGCTGTTGGTAAAATGTCCCAAGGCGAATATTGGATATATAGGATTTTTTAATCTGAATCACAAGTAAATGCATACCTCTTATATACAGTTAAAAACGTATGAAATATGTGACTCCAGTTGGGTCAAGATATAAGTTGGTGCACTGTTTAAAAACTACAATAAAAACAAAAATGTATCTGTCTCACAGTCCATTTTCATTCTCTTCTTTTGTTATTTGTGAAGAATAAGGTACGGCATTGTTCTGGAGGGAAATTAACGAGGTCCAGGGGAATGTTTGCTCTCATCACAGATGCATATGTGGCTTTTAAATTTAGATTCATGCAACACAATCAGTGGTGCACTTACAGTTACACAACACCTGTGTACCATTGCTAAAAGGTGAGCTCACACAGAACCCCATTTCTGTCTTGTCTTTTTGTCAATCTAAACCACTGGTTTGATTTATGTCATATACAGATCATTATTATATATATAGTATTATTATGATTATATTTACTATACTATAGTTACATTTATTTATATATTTATTAATCTACTTTAATATGAACTTCACCCCCCCCCACTGTGTTCCTGATTGACATTGTTGTTGTTTTTGTAAACATTTGCTGCAAATAAATTCTCATATGTTCACATATTCTAATTACAGTGAAAAACTGCCACATCTAGATTTTTCTTATACATGTACAATTACTGTAGTTCATGTAGTTTTCCAACTAAACTTATAACCAATCCATTTAGATCGAAGCTTCAATGAAAAAAAAGGAAGTAATCAGTAATTTTGCAAAACGGAATAATTATACCTGCATCCTGGATTGTCACCAAAGGGTGGCACTATAGGCCAACTGTAGCAGTTCAATCTCCAGGTACAGCCTTGTAATTCTCAGTGGCATACCGTAATACCTACTGTAGACCTTCAGTGGCATTGTATCCTAACTAACTCATAATAACACTAAAACATTAGTGACTAACTTTACTGCACTGAAATCTGTTTCAAATTAAATAGTAAACAGAGTTTTAGTGTCAGTAATGAAAAACCAACTGTATCACAAGCTATAATCAATATGTAATACATTTAAATTAAAACTCCTACAAAAACAACTACAATAAATATGAGACAGACAGACAGACTGACCGACTGACAGGCCAACAGTCAGACAGAACGACAGACAGATAGATAGATGTGGTCAGTGAACGTGGGCAATGATAGCGAGAAAAACACTTTCAGTTCACTTAGTAGAACTTGTCTTTATCCTGCACAGCAACATACTTACTGTTAGGTATTTGTCCAAGTGATTTCTTAGTTTGGACAAACAAAAGACAGGGGCGGGTTGGCCAGCCAAACATGTGGAGTAACGTCGCACTGTCTGTCTGAATAAAGGCTGCCTTGTGTTCTGCGTCTGTCATCTTCAGTCATGCAGAGTTTGTAGAAAAAAAAGCTGAACTGCATGTAGGCCAATGTCCTTACCAGATGTGGGAGACGGAGGCTGACTTCCTGTTCTTTAAACAGGACTGCTAGTCCACAGATACTGTATATTAAGCGTACATGAACACAGAGTCTCCTAAGATATGCTTTCATGAATATCATATTACACTAAAATAAGTCAAAAACTGTTTTGATTATTTTTTTTACAAAAATGTATTAATTTATTTAAAAAAAGGACATTAACAGATGTTTCATTGTTACAAAAAGATATTTCATAAAAAAGATTTAGGCAATAAAATGTTGCTACATGAATTAAAGTACAATAAAGCACACTCTGGTGTAAAAAGACTACACTAACAACACCTGTACAGAAAAAGGTGATGCCAACTGGATAGTAAATATAAAACGGACACTCAAACTACACTGCGAGAAAACAAGAAAAGCGCCCTGAGTCTGCACAGTTTCTAATGGCCTGTTGATTTCTGTTTATCCTTCTGATACTTCTATGTTACACAACATTGAGCAGGTGATAACTGTACAGCTGATTTAACAGATTTAACTATCTCTATGTTGCAGAGGGGAAACACTCAGACTCATATATTTCAACAAACAATCTGCTCCAGCAGAGGTACAACATTTTTTCCCAACACGTTCAAAGGAAAGTTTTTTTTTTTCCCCAGTCGTCCACACCATGTTCAAGTCAGTTCATCATTATCAATAACCTATGCATTGGACAGTGTAAAGTATTTTGATAGATATACAGGAGGTCCTCGGGTTACAAACTCCTCGACCTACAGCGTTTCAGGGTTACATCGCCATCTCCCATAAATGTTCCATCATTCTGATGTATGACGTTAAAATACATTTTGGTAGAACGAGTTGGTGAGCAGAATGGATATATAAACATCATTGTTTACATTCGCCTTATGTGTTGGATTGTGCTACACTGGCTTTCTTTTCAGACTTTTGTGATGTTTTTATGTTCTAGATTTTGAAGTTACCACTGGGTTAGTGTATATGAGCGACGGAAGTGCTTAAGCACAGTATGTTAGTTCTGATATATGGCAAAGATGGTGTTAGGTCACGCCGTATGAATGCAATTCTGTCGTAAGTCGAGGAGCCCCTGTATATTGGTGATAGTATTGTTATACAGTTTGTTGTTGCATTCATCCCTGTCCTTACAGGTTTAACATTATTAAATTTATCTGGGTGTGCCAGCTCAGATTCACTCTTTAATCCATATGGCCTTTTCATATTCAAACATCATTAGTGTGTTTTAGTACATCATAATTTATTAAGTTTGTGATTGTGATTATTTACCACGATTATTTATTTAGGTATGACATTTTCCAGGGCATGGTAAAACATGGAATAACTGCTGAATACATTCTGTTCAGTGGAAATCCCCTTTCTAATTTGTTTTATCTTAGCCCTTCCTTCAGTCATTGTGCCTAGGATTTGAAGAGCTTTGGGTAAAGGGACTTGATTGGAGATGGAGTGTTGATAGCGTTGACAGCATTTATAATGTTCCCAGAGGAAATGGTTGTCTCCTGGCCGGCCTCCAACTTCTGAGAGGCCAACTCCGTTTTACTGAAACTGCACTCCAAAAATGGAATCCCAATCTTCTTCACATGGCCATCTCTGGTCATGAGACATGGGCGACAGAGGAGCCTTAGAATAGCTCTCCTCATCTCTTTATTGGTCAGGGTGTAGATGATGGGGTTGAGCAGTGAGTTTACCATGGCTACACCCAGGAAGTAATCAGCCTTGAAGAGCAAGCTGCAGCTGCGAGTTGGGCAGAAAAAGTCCAGGAGCAGGAGAAGGAAGAGAGGCAACCAACAGGCGATGAAGACACCGAGCACGATGGTGACAGTCTTCAGGAGGGCGATGTACTTCTGTGACTTCCTTGCTAAGCCTTTCCGCACACTGCCTGACAGACCTGGCCGCAGACGTTGTGTGTTGATGCGGACGATGCGGAAGACTCGGGCATAAAGCACCACAATGGCTAGAAGCACAGCACTGAACACTGATACACAGCAGAGGATGTAGCTTCTGGCATAAAGAGGGAGCACCGTTGAACACTGGTCCAGTCTGTGGATGCAGTTCCATCCAAGAATGGGCAAAACTCCCAAAAATCCTGACAATGCCCAGCTTGCACCAATCAGCGCCAGCATCCGTCCTCTCTTCGCCCCATGGTATGGCCTCATTGTCACCATCGTAACATGACGTTCAATGGCGATGGCCAGCAGACTAATGATGGAGGCGGCCAGAGTAATGAAAACCCCGCCCTCCCTGAGGAACCACAGCAGCGGCGTCAGTTTCAAAGTATTAGGTCCAGACATGACTATGTTGGCCATGTAGGTAATCCCAGCCAGCAGGTCGGACAGAGTAAGATTTCCTAGCAGGTAATACATGGGAATGTGGAATTTCTTATTCCTCCATATGGCAACGAGAACCACAGCATTCTCCAGAACAATGAGGAGGCACACTACCAGGAAGGCAATACCTTCTGGTTTGAGTCCCTCACGGTAGCGGTCTCTCTGCAACTTGCCAGTGTAGTTGTAATGTTCCACAATGACAGAATTGTCCTGATAGTGCCAGAAGAACTGCCAGCTGCCAGGAGACGAAGGACTGGGAGAAGTAGGACAAATGGATGTGGACGGGAATGTCTCTCCAGAAGCAGACATCAGCAACTCCATAATTCTGTTCTTTTTTTTTCCTACTGAGCCTCTCAGTTGTCAGTACAAAGTCATTTTCAACATCATGCTTTTACCAAAATGGGCGGCAGTGACTGGAATGATCCAGAAACAGAGGATGCTCGGAGTGTAATCCACAGAAAACTCCTTAATGTTTTTTTCTGGCCAAAAGATGGTGCTCTTGCGCTCTTCCCTTCTTTGGTTGGAGGTTCAAGACCCTGCAGAAAAACACAGAAATCATGTGCCTCAAAGAGTAATTCAGACATAAAACGTTACTAATGACACATGTTGCACTGGGAAGATTTAATGACAACAATTTACTCAGAAAAGTGTCAGCTGTTTCATCTAAGTTGTAATTATTTTATTGTGGACAAATGCTGCTGCTCAGTGTGAGACATCAAAATAATCAAATGAAAATAATAATATGGTCCTGATCCATGAGGTCTAGAAAACCAAGGTTAATCTGCAGCAGAGCGTTGCATTGAAATGACCCTTGAGTCACAGCTAACACAAAGCTGCGTTCCTCTGCAGTATCAACAAAGTACTTTCTGTACTGCACACTTGCAAATACACCAGGAGGTTTTTAGGACAAAACCTTGAAACACTGCGGTTCAATGATTGTGGCTTTGTGGAGAACAAACAAATCATTACTGCATTCCAACAGATCATTGTGGTTGATGATGAGTAAAATTTAACAAAAAATGTTATCACCTTTTCAACAGGAAAAAAATGTTCCTTGTAAAAGCTGGGAGGAACAGGGAGGATGAGAGTTATAGAAAAAAAAGTACATTACAGTGGTGTAAAATGATTACTTTTCTAAGAAAACCACGTACAGATGTCACACATGGATCAAGGAAGTTACTTTCAGTATCAAAAAAGTCAAATATTGAAGTGACTGAATACATACCCTAATCTCATAACACCTAAAAGAGCATGCATTATCAGCTAGTGATGTGATAGGTTATCAAGTTACCTTCAAGTTATCGTAGCATTGACTTGATCCCACACTTTTGTCTTTAAGTGAAAAGTATCCAAACGCAAGCACCAAGCAGCTCAGAGTCAACTTTAGAGTGAAGTTAGAACTTTGTGGAAACATGCAACGGCTGAAGGGGGTGGGTCCCAACTTGGAAACATGCAACGGCTGAAGGGGGTGAAGGAGGTGGGTCCCAACCCACGGCTCTCTGTCTCATTCATCTCTCTCTCTCTCTCTCTCTCTCTCTCTAAAACTTTAAAAGTAAATAGTCAAATTTCTATCTTTCTATTAGCTTTACTTTTAGTGAAAAAAGCCACATTTTGTTAATGTGATAAATTAAACAGTAAGGAACATTTTGTCTGAACTGAGTTACTAAGTTAATACTACTAACGACTGCAGGTCTGTTTACGTCCTGTGTACTAAATTAGACATAAAAACATTGATAAAATATTTTGCTGGAAGAACAGTACAGCTACAGTACAGCCCAAGCTTCACCCCCTGATATATGAAATGTACAGGAGCTGTGATTTTGGATTCCCTGATTTGTCTCAACCAGTAAAAGAGTGTATGTCATCTCCATAGTTTAGGTAGTCATGTCAGGATCCCAAACCTCAGAGTCTATCAGGATGATCGCAGCATGCTGTGACATGCTGGAAGAGCTCACCTGCAGGGCCTGCAAAACCGTAACACAGACAAAATCTTGCAGAAAAGAGATAAATGAAAAATGTTTCCTTGGAATGTAAAAGAAAAATATCAGACTAACATTGAAGACCTTGAATATTCAAAATGGAAAATATTTCTGTATCCAACAGAAATACCCTTCCTTCAGTGGAACATCTCTCACACGAAGTCATAACCTGCTTCTTTGCCTGGTCAAACTACTAAAATACAGTTTCCTCACTTTTCCAGTTTTTTAGAGAAGACAAACATCAGGATGGAGTTGTTGACGTTCAGTTGTTTCCTTTATGATTTCATTATGACCCTAACCCACACCCTCACTTTTCAAAGATGTGCTTTTTAACATTTTGTAGAATTTTAAACATAACATTATAAATGGTTCAACTTTTTCCCAGTATGTTTTTAATCACTTTTAATATGGTGATTTTACCCACATTTTTGTGACAGTTGTATACCCCACTCTTTTTGACTGTTTGATAATCAAACAAAGCCACACCTGTTCTTTCAGCAAATAAACTGTGGTTCCATTGTTGATATCTCTGTGTTCTCTCCTTTTGTTTCAGTCAAACTCTCTTTTTTCTTCTGTTTGTTTTCTAAAACCTTCCAAAACTCCCTCTACAGGTCCAGAGCCTGCGGTTCTAAGGTCCCGATCATGTCAACATGACTGTTGAGTTCTGGCACACGCTGGATCAACAGACCTAACTGTCACAATGTAAAAGCCTACCTGCACAAAGCTATGTTCATTTTGTAATCAAATACAGAAAGAAATAAGAGTTTAAAAATGAACCCATTTTGATCCCATACTGTGGAGTGTGAAAATACAGGGTGGGACGTAAAAGAAATGATGGAAATGTTCCCGTCGTACTGATCGCAGCGCTGCAGCAGGTGTGTCGAGCCAAAACAACAACAACAGCAGCAGCAGCAGCAGCAGCAGCAGCAACAGACAGTGAGATGGTGAAACGTGGCCTGGTAGACAGTAAGTTTCAGTTCCAAAACCCCATCAGAAGGAAACATAGATAATTCAAATCAATTCAAATCTCCACTACAACCTCAATGCAAAACAGCAGCGAGCGCGGACACTGGACTAACAGTAGTAATAACGGGGCTTTTCCTGGATTGTCTTTCTGCTGCCCTTCCTGAACTCCATAGCTCCTTCATTACTACTCATAAGAACCCACTGCTCACTGCTGCCCCCTCTGTCCTCTGGACCTCAAACACACACCAAACTGCAAAGTTTAAGAGCTGAGAGGCTGAGAATGGGCCTGGATGATCAAAAAAGGTTACCCTGTACAGTTCACTACTAAATCAAAAATAATCTGAATGTAGAGGTCAACAAAAAATACGGCAACCCACTCTCACCCCCTCTCTTCCTCTCTCTCAAACAAAAGAGAGCAGCAGGTGAACACAGGTGCTGGATCACACCTGTAGTCATGTGACCGGCCACCAGCAACCAAACAACAAAACAACTCTTAACCAAAAGAAAATCACATTCCTGGCTCCCACACTCCCTCTCTCTCCACAGTCACGAACATCCTACTGAAGTGTGGTGTTTACGTTCCACTGTCCAATCAGCTGATCTCAGACAGTGCTGCCCACTCATCAGAACGCTGTCTGTTTGGGATTTCCAGTGTACTTGCAGTGGTCACGGGTCCTTTCAGGGGTTTATGAGGGTCTTTTGAACTTAAAGGCAAGATGAGTTAAAGAGGAGAGGGTAGGGGGTTGTGGGAAATACATGCAGGAGATAAAGCCCAGACAACAGTTATCAGGAGGTGGACTAAACCCTGTCAGCTATCTCTGAGGAAATAAGTCACAAAAGCAGTAAAAGGAACTGCAGTAGTTGTTGTATATAAGTAGACTAGAAGTTTTCTTGTAAAAGTTACTGTGATACTTCTGCCTCTGCTGTCTGCAGGTCTGCAGGTTTGGGAGTGGGGGGGTGGAGGTTGGCTGCAGTGTAAATGTGTACACTCCAGCAGTGGCAGAACACTGGGCTAATGAGAACCAGATTGAGAACTTTCTGGATGTAGTATGTGGAACCGACACCCCTCCTGACTGAGACAGAGAGCTGCAACCCCCCAAACCAAACATTTAATCCGGCATATTCAGTGTTTGTGACGCTAGTACGAACACAGCACAACTCATTCCTAGCTCTGTCCTCGAGGGCACTGCGGCGTGCACCTACGAGTTGACGTTCGGATCTTTCTCTGCTGGAAAGCGTGTCAAAGGTTCTTGGTAATGACAGGAGTGCTGAGATCATAGTTATGATGGGAAAAAATAAAAATAGATCATTCTTCAGCCATTTTTACTGCTAATTCTAATAAAGTATTGTAATCAGATTATTTTTTATTATATGTTTTTTGGATTTATACATTTAGTAGCACACACATTAATGCCCATAATTAAAGTATTCAGTCAAACTGAGTCGGTGAAGCCACAGAGGTTTGGACAGCTTCTACGAAACTATTCCTTTTTCTTTTTATACAAAAACACAAGGGAAGGTTTAGAAATGTGAAAAGAGGGATAGAGGACTGAGGAGACACAACGGAAGGGAAGAACGACCAGGAGTTTCAAGGTTGTTTTTTTACCATGGTGTTCTGTAGATAAAAAGAATAGTGAGGTTTTGGTCATTCTCTTCTTCCAACAAGTTGGATGTCAGTTTAGAGAAAGAGGAATTCTGGAGCAGGCTGAATGAAGTATCAGGTGTCCTCAGAGAGGAGAGAGGAAACTTGTCAGGTGTGACGTCAGTGAAGAGACGACAAGGAAACGCGCTGGTGTATGAAGAAGTGGAGCAAGGACTATTGCAGGTACAGATAACATTTTGAAGTGAAAATGCATTTGCCCCACTGCAGCCCACTGCAACAGCCCTCCTGCCCCTCGGCAGCTCTCTGACCAGAGCCAGTTTAACATGACCCTAACAGTGGACTGTAAATGTATCAGGGCTCAGCACTGATTCATAGATTTAAAACAATATTTCATTAGTGACAGGTTTGACGACAATCAATCATCACATGCTAACATGATGTGTCTCCACTGACAGTGAGCTGTCAAACATAACAGGGTGGGAAAAAAACAAGTTTAATTTACACTATATTTTATCACGTCAAATTATAGAGGACTGTGTTTATATTCTATATTAATCACACGACGGTTTGGAAAATGTTTGTTTAAAACGTCACGTTTATTTGGTTTTCACGCTTTCGCAACAATCTGCCAGTCAACTTCTCGTTCCAGTTTAGTCACAAGCGTACAGGCAGCGGTGTCCTGTTTCATGGTGCTGCAGTGCACATTTAGTTCACGTTCTCCTAAATGGAGTGCATTAGCAGACTGTACAGAGATGTGAACCAGCTGCTCTGCTGATGTGAAAGATAAAGAAAAGAAAAAGGTTCTCACTTTAGATGTGCTCTTAATGAAAACCGCAGACAGTTTAAATATAAACTCTACCTCCAGTCCACCAGGTATGAAGCTGGACACCCACGACTCCATACTTTCTTTTGCACTCACCTGTGCATGTTTTTGAATTGTTTCCCAAAAAGCTTTTGCTTTTCGTTACACTTTCCTATTACCAACGGT